TATATACACACATACATTGTGTGTATGTATATTTTCTTCTTTTTGTAGCAATAGATATAATGTCAATTTCGCAACTTTATTTTTTTTTTCAAATAATTGTGAATTATGAAATTATAATTTATTATATTAATATACTAGTTATTAAAATTACCTTAAGCTTGATTTCGTTGCCAAACCAACAATAATAAAAAATTGGAGCTAGAGTGCTAGCTATAACCATAACATCTTGTATACAAGAAACGGTATTAGACGTTCTAAAAGCCATATGAATTAAATTGTAGCACATTACCACTATGATCGTTAAGAACTCACTAGGAATTATTTTGCTAAATTTATCGTTTAGTATATACGCGTACCTAAAATTACAGAGAACATTTTCAATTCATCTACAGATTCCATTAAGACTATGTAATATAATTAATGAATTTATATTGTTATATATAGTTTAATATTTAAAAAAAACATGGAAATTATCTTATATTTCTAATTTCTTTATAATTATATTCTTTTATAATTATATTCTATATTCTTTATAATTTCTTTATAATATAACAGCTTCTTTATACTTAAAGAAAATTAATTTATATTGATAACATGCATATTGTGCACTTTTTTGTATCAAAGATAACAAAATAGTTTTTAAAAGATTCATTTCAATAAAATGTTTCTACATAGTCATAATATAAATAGAAATTAATATATTATTTTTTCTTAATAAGCATATTAATTATTTTCGCAAGAAAATTTCCTAAAAGAAATTTGAACAAATATATACAAATAGAAATAATGGAACTTTTTAATTCTTTAAAATACTGAGCTATTTTCATATTTATTTTCTTTCTATATCTTTTTCTTTCTATATCTCTAGGTATGACATATATTAAAAGAAATGAAAAGAAACTATGAAAAATATGTGAAGCATTAATTGGTTATTCAAATCATAAGTGAAAAATCTATTGGTATTTATACTATGGGTACATATACTGTCGATGTATAGGCTTTCTGACAATTCAAAATATCAGTATTCAATACTACATATATTTCCATCTTCAGTTCTTAAGTGTAACTAATCTGTCCCCAAATTTCGAATTTATTCCTAATTTAATTTTAAATATACAATTTTCGACCCTAGATGATTAAATTAGTTGAAAAATCTTAATTCGAAAAATGACAAGTTTCAATAAGAATATACTCTTAAAGAAATAAAAATAATATTCTACGTTAGAAAAATAACTCAAATATACATTTATATATAAATATGTATATAACTTACTCAAATATATATATATGATGGCGTACGCAATTGCGCAGATTTTCTTGGTCATTCGCAATATTCGACAAACGATATTCTAAAATCTCGATTTGGCAGCAGATGTGCAGCAATAATCCGCAAATTAAATTGTCACATATAGGATGTATAAGTCCATTAAATATTAGAGAGAATATCTGATGAGCGTATGCTAGATAAAATAGTGCAGATATTGAACTGTTGAATGGTAACCATGCTCTGTACATTAAAGTTCCATTCTTAAAATTCGTAAATATCGAAAGCAAGATCATATAAATGACAGTTATCGAGGAGAGAATTAAATAATATAATGTATTATTCCTATAAAATCATTTATAAAATGTAATTAAATTTAAATAGTTTTAATATAATTTAGTTATAAAATACTGAAAGAAACTTACGTTATTCTCTTGTCAAACTTCTCCCGAATCATGTTTTCGTTCAGATCTACTGGTTTAAATGGCTTCTCAACGAGATTACTAATTAACATTGTAATACTATTATGATTTATCCGCATAGCAATTGCCTTGTAGCATGCCAGAAGCGAAATCAAAGCGTTGAACAAGGCGTCACCAATTGTGTCAGCGTTGTCAGCTCTCAATATCAACTCTATAATTTGAGTCATTGCAAAGATGTATAATGTTATAAGCATTGACGTTGTATAAGCGTTATATATCATGTGTCTAAACAGCGATGTCCACGATGTTGGTCGCCAGCATCCTGCGACCGCTAAAACCGCGAGCGTAAATTTCAAGACAGGCATTTCGCTTTTCTTTCCAACATCATTTCTCAATATCCACTTGCCCAACATTAATCACTGTTTTAATTAATGTATATACACTTATTTACTACAAATTTTAATTATTATGATAATATACTAATGAGCGGTAATTAGTAGCATCGAGATTAATTGTTTTTAGATATTTGATCGTGTATTTCCCTAAATGATCGCTAATTAATTGCCTTTATGTATGTTAATAATTAGATACAAAAATTTAATAATAAAATAAAT